CCGGCGTTTGAACACCGAGGGAGTGAAGGAGTCACGGGCAGGCCTGCGAGCATAGTGGGGGCGAGCTAGGCTTCTCAACAGAGACCCGAGCATAAAGGTTCTCGATTTAGAAATGCAGGGAAAAAAATAAGTAATTAGTTAAGAGGTAGCGGTAGGTCCTGTTTGATCCCTCCCGAAATCATCCCGTGTCCGAGTGCATGAGAGAGAAGAAATCACGACACAAATGTTAGCTTTCTGCTGCCAGATGCTGCCTCAGCCCCTTCTGCAGAGGGCGGGCGGGAGGAGGAGGAGGAAAATTCTTGATCGCGGCCAGGGTGGGAGGGTGCCGCGGTGTTTAGTCAGAGGTTGCTCGGGTAGTCACCTTCTCACCGGCTTGGTATTAGCAGTCAGGCGATACCAGCTATTATTGGCCCCGACCCCAGCCTTGTCTCAAAGGAAAGTCCCCACATACACGTGGAAATACCACGGAAAGCCAACCGATTCCGCTTTCCCCTTTTGTCCTTTTAAACTTCATGGAGAGTTGATGACGACGTGTGGAGCGAGTAAGCTCTCCTCCTGTGTAATCCCTAAATTGAACTCTCAGTGGCCAAAGCAACTGAAAGCTAACCGCATCCCATTTTCGTTGTTTTTGCTTTTAAGTCGGAGGGATTTAAAGGAGGAATGAGCCTGTTATAGATGCAGTTGTTAACGCGTTTAAACGTTTACAAGTTTTCCGTGGTGCTTATAAAAGATGCCCAGAGACTCCATAACTTTTATGGGTGCCTCTTACAGCACATTACATATTTCCCTTTTGTTTGTGTTCTGTGGCCTAACTCATTCATTTTTGATGACGAAAGGAGAAAACCCCAGGGGAACAAGAATTACTTCCTTTTTTTTGCAGATAGGAAAATGAAACGTAAGTAGGGATGACACAGGGTCATACGACAGCTAACTCAACAGCCAAGGGATGAAATGACCCCAATTCTGCTCCTTGAGTGTTCAGAGATTTCCTTTACTCTGTCTTATTACCCTGGCATGGACCAGGACGCCAGGAAAAGCACAAGTGTGGCCGGAGTGGTGCACACATCTTCAATCCCAGCATTCTGGACCAAAGCCTTGTCTAGAGAAACCTTGTCTCTAAATAATTTTTAAAAGCCACAGTATGCCTCCAGTTCTTTAATTTCCTACACCAGGTCCTCGGCTCTGTCCAAACAGGGCTATTCCCACTTGTTTCACTCCCCTAGCATGTGCAGATTCCAAGGCTTGGTGCCTCCTGTCCTGGAAGTGCCCCGCCCTCTTGTAAAGGTGTAGGATGTTGTGAAATAAATCTGAGGTCTTACCTGAGCACCATGACACTGAGCTATATACTCCACTCCTCTCTTTTTATTCAGAGCCTTGCCTTCTGAAGGAGGGAGGCAGATGTACTTGCCCATTTTTGCTGAACAAACTCACTGAGCCTTCCACCCATCTGACAGTCATGTGGGGTCATTAAAAAAGAATCTGTCTGGGCTGGGGATGCAGCTCAGCTGGCATGGTGCTTGCTTGCCTGGCATACATGAAACTCTGGGTTTCATCCCCATCACTTATTTGGCACCATGCATGGAGTATGGTCCCAGCACACAGGAGGTACAGAAGGAAGGATCAAAAATCAAAAGTTCAAAGTTAGCCGGAGATACACAAGATCTTTTTTTTTTTTTTTTTT